AAAAAAATGTTAATAGACGAGCTATGCTGTTCTCCTACAGCTCTTGTTTTCCAAGTCTTGCACAGTTGTTATAAATTTCTCATATTGATCATCTACTGACTATGCTAAAAGGACCCAGACATGATTGCTTTAAGGTTGACTGATCATGCGTGAATAACACCTGTCAAATATGTCCTCCAGTCCCCCTCCCCCGCTAATTACTGGCCCCCTGCGGCACACGACATCTTGCAACTGACCAGTGGTGGTCATTGCCAGACTAGGGCAGCCTTGTGATTTAATCGGTGTCAAAATATAATGTAAAAGACTCCATTCAGTACAAATAACAAGGTGATACGTTTCATGGTTGAAGGTGATACAGGCCAGTTAACTCATTCACCCCGGAAATTTCATAATGAACTTTTCCAACCTTTGAACTGGACTAGAGTACTAAGTTCCAATGTGTGTTCAGGGGTGAATGAGTTAAGCTGATATGGTCGGGAGGATTTCCACCCAAAGCCGATACAACTCCATATCTGCTTAATGGCCTAGGGAGAACCCCGAGAAGTACAAGTTGATAAGAATTGTCTAAAAAATTATTTACTGTAAAGCAAATTAGTATGTTGACGATTTGACGCACAAACAAAATATGCAAATGGATACAATATGTACAGGAACTTAAATTGGCAAAATCATGATTTTGTGCAATATTTAAAGCATAAAAAATAGGTTTTGCCGCTAAAATGATTGTTTACAGTATTTAACCCTTTCATCCCTATAACTTAAGTAGGCTCAACCATGCATAGATCTGGACGAGTCCAATATGGTCTACAGTGGTGATTAATGATTGATGTATGCATAGATAAATGGTCAAGAAAAAAAGCATTGATTTTCGTTTCTATTTCAAAATACGTTACCACAGTCATTATAATGCCTATTCCAACCTTACTTGGCTCTTGACATACGTAAATAAAGAATTTTTCCCCCCATGGGGAACCCCTGGGAAACCCCCCAATCAGACGGCAGTATACACGCACGTGATAAGACACGAAGCCATGCTTCCCACTTCATTATTCCTTCAGCCGGCCGTGTTTACGGATGTGTTTTGGTGTCTACGGGTTCCAACTACAACAGGCGTTGTTTGTACCCATACATATACGTATCCTTTAATACTATTTAACTTTATTTTGTTTTAATTAAGCGTTTTGCTTTATTTTGCGCCGTTTTGCGACCAGGCTCCGGCCACGTGTTCGCGTTTTTGACGGGTTTGTTTACGTTGAGATGGAGACTCCTCCTTTTCAAAGGCGCTGTCCTTGGGGTCATTTTTTTGAGGCTTCCGACCCCCACCCTTACTGTCCTGGCTGTCGGTCTTGCTTTCTGGAGCAGCCGTGTGAAATTTGCCGTGCCTGGCAGCCGACTCCTGCCGGTGGTTCTCCCCGCCCACGAGGGCGTGCAGGTAAGTCGGGTAGTAGGGGTGGGGCGAGGGCTAAGGCTAGGCCTAAGCCCTCGGAGAACACCAGCGGAATTCCGACCTCTGTCGAGTCTTCCCTGGGGTTCGTTTCGGCGGTTTCGACCCGTATCGGGGCCGTTGTGAAACAATTTGTTTCATTGGACCTGGACCTTTCTCTCACCCCCCCTTCCGTTTTGTCGGTCGACGTGGGTGAGGGTTTGGGCTCTGTACCGGTCACCATGGTGACTAGGGGACAGGGGGGCGGCCTTCTCTCCCAATATGTGGTGGGAGGGCAGGTGGCCCAACATTCCCTTGGGAATGTTAAACAGGCCAGCCATGTTGTGTCCGCGGATGCTTCTGTTGGTGGCCTCCTGCCGGTCCGCTCCACTCCTGAGGGTGTTGGTGTCGGAGACCGGCCCCCGGCAGTTTTGTCTGCTCCCGGGGTTCCTTGCATCCCTGATGTAGCCCCTGGCGTGGTGATGGCGTCTAGCACGCCGTCCACCACTGTGCAGCATTTGCTGCCCGGTCCGGTGGTTAGTGATGCCTCGGCCTCGCTAGCCTCGGCTGGATTTTACGGTGGTGTGAGCACTGGTGTAAAAACCTATGCTTCCAGCTCTATCCCTTGTGCCTCCTCCCCAGGTTTTCCTATGGTAGGTGCCAGCGCAGCTGCGTTTGGTTTTGCCGGTGCACGCTGCTCCCCTGGTGGGGCTTGTTTTACTGGCCCTACAGGTTTTGGCCCTGCTGTAGGTCAGTCTGGGTGGAGTTGGTCAGGTCAGCCAGGTGTGGCTTATGGCGGCGGGTGTGTAGGTGGCCCTAGGTTCCCTACCCCGCCCCCCCAAACCGGTCCTGCCTCCGGTTTCGGGCATCAGGTTGGTGGCTCTGTTCCAGGGTCCTCCCTGGTTTATCCCACCTATTTGCAGGGTGGGAATGGAGCTCATTGGGGTCAACAGGCTCCTTTTTATGCTCCGCCCCAACCACCGACCGCCTATGGGCAGTCTTGGGGTTTCTCCCAGCAGGGGGCTTTTCCAGCCGCTCCCCCTCCACCCCAGGGTGGTATGGGTTTCCAGCCTGGATATGCCCCCCCCGCCTTCTTGCCTGCGGCGATGGGGCCCCCCCTCCATCCGCCACCGAGCCGTTCGCGCAAGCGTTCGCGCTCCCGGCCAGCTTCTGCTGCCGGTTCAGTCAGGCAGAGACCGCGTGATGCTAGGGCGGCTGGTCGTGCTGCGTTGGCTCGAGCTCCTATTTTGGAATTTGAGTCTACCAGTAACTTCCGCTGTCCGGTGTCAACTCCTACCTTACAGCAGGTTCCAGGGTCTTGTGGTCCTGCTCCTGCTGTTCCTCAGGGACTATCGATTGCCCCGATAGTTCCCTCGGGTAGGTCACGTTCTCTTTCCCCTCCTCGCACCCCTCCCCGGAGGGCGACGTTGATGGAGGTGGATTCGGCGGGTGCCTCTCCTAGTGATGAGAGGGACGTTCTTCGGGGCTCTCCTGGTTGCTCCAATTTTACGGAGACTCGGGATGAGGATAGAGTCGGCGAGTTTACTGACTCTGATTTAGAGTCGTTGGATTCGTCTGGGTTGGACTCAGAAGGCCCTTCTGATGTGTCCCAATCCCGGCCCCGAGATGCTGATCCGGTGCCTCCAGAGGTTTCGGCTTCATTTCGCACTTTACGTGCAGAAGTTATGAAGCTTCTGGGGGACGGGGTTTGCCCACGCCCTTCCACGGATTCGGCCGTCCCGGAGCGCACTTCGCTCCTTCAGAGCATGTTGCCTCCCCTAGCATCTGCCTCCTCGGCCTCTGCTAGGTCTCTTGCGGAGGGACGAGGCGTGGCTTCGTCCCTCGCTCAGGTCAACGCTTTATTAAAGCAGAAGGTGAGCAAGGCTCGCAAGCCTTTTTCCCTCTCGGCTTTACAGGTCGTGGTTGCGGACATCGCAGATTTAGCTGCAGATACGTACCGCATCCACGACCCAGTCTTGGCCCCTAATTCTGTTTCCCTTGAGAGGGATCTGGATAAGTGGCCGGGACGCTGTGTTGACCAGGTTGTGATGGGGCCTAGGGAGCACTCTAAGTTGGAGCGTCTCCTTAGGCTGGCTCTCCATGTTCTGTCCTACGCAGACTGGTTTACTTCTGCGTTGCTGGCTGCGAGCTGCAAGTCGGTGGAGCAGCTCCCCAGCAAGGTTGGACTGATGGAGCGCCTCAGCCAGGCAATTTGCAAGGCACATCTTGATGCGATGGCCTTACTGTCGGCTGCCATGTCACACCTTGTTGTTGCCCGCCGGTTGTCGGTCCTTTCTGGACTGCCAGTCGGCGATTCCTATCGGGCTACCCTTTTGGAGGCTCCCTTGACTGGCGAGGATTTGTTTGGCGGGGTCCTTCCCTCAGTGCAATCTGAGATGAGGTTGGACCCGTTTGCATCTGAGGATGCACGCCACAATTCCGCAGGCAAGGGCGCTAGCAGGAAGAGGCAGGCTTCTGGCTCCTCCAGGCGTAGGAGGAAGAGGGCAAAGACGACTGCTTTTCAGCAGCAGTCTGCCCCTCCGACTTCCGCTCCGGCAGAACGTCGGAAATCTTCCTTCCGCGGTAGGGGTTCCCATAGGGGTCGAGGCAAAGGCAAAGTTTCCAGAGGTAGGAAGGGTTCCTGACTCTTCCTTGCCCTTGCAAACTCCTTGTCCACTGTCTGTGGCCGCTCCCACGTCCTTGGGCGCGGGAGGCTCCGCCGAGGTGGTTTGGGAAGGGCTAGATTGGCCCCTTCCGGACTTGCCAGTAGGCGGTCGGCTGTCCCATTTCGTTCCTCAGTGGAAAGAAATCACTTCAGACAGTTGGGCCCTAGGGGTTGTGTCCAAGGGTCTCTGCATCCCGCTTCTTCGGGATCCACCTCTGGCGCGAGAGCCTATCTTTTTCCCTTCTCCTTCCGATCCGGGAAAGGTGGAGGCTCTCAGGTCAGAGGTTCAAGCCATGATCGCGAAGGGCGCGATCGAAGAACTTTCACGGGACCAGTGGTCTCCAGGGTTTTACTCCCGGGTCTTCCTCGTGAAGAAGAAGTCCGGTGCCTGGAGGCCTATTATCGACCTCAGTACGTTCAACACGTATGTCGATTCCCCGCACTTCCAGATGGAAACGCCACGGCGCATCATTGCGTCAGTGCGTCCAGGGATGTGGGCTACGTCCATCGATCTGAAGGATGCTTACTTTCACATCCCGGTCAGGAGGTCGGCCAGGAAGTTCCTCAGGTTCACTTTCGAGCAGAAGGTTTACCAGTTTCGCGCTATGCCCTTCGGCCTCACTACGGCCCCCTTGGTTTTCACCAAGTTGTTGCAGGTAGTAGTGGGGCACCTCCACAGTCTCGGGGTAGATGCACACATCTACTTCGACGACTCCCTGTTGCTCCAAGTGGATCCAGTTATCCTGTCCCGGAGCACGAGGTCGGTTCTGGGCGTTCTGTGCCGCCTAGGGTTCATCCCTTCCAGGGAGAAGTCGGAGGTTCTCCCCTCTCAAGATTTTGTTTTCCTCGGTTATCGGTTCAGAACCGATCTGGGGTTTGTCCTTCCACCAGTGTCCAAGTTCGAGAAGGCCTCTCTGTTGGTCTCCGTTCTGGTCGGTGTGGAGCGAATTCAGGTCCGATGGTTCCTTCGGTTCCTCGGTTACCTGAATTCATTGGCGGATGTGGTTCCCTTGGGTCGGCTTCACATCCGTCCGCTCCAGCTGTTCCTTCTGTCAGTTTGGTCTCCGGCGTCTCGACAGTGGGATGTGTACATTCCTCTGCCGGAGTCGGTGAAGGAATCAGCTCGTTGGTGGACTCTCAAGAGCAATGTCTTGGCAGGAGTTCCTCTGGTTCGGGCATCTCCTGCTATGACCCTTTACACCGACGCGTCCATGACCGGTTGGGGTGCATACCTTTCCGGTCAGACGTCGGCGGGGGTGTGGTCAGGGGAACAGCTTTCAGAACACATCAATGTTCTGGAAATGCGTGCTGTTCTGTTGGCCCTTCGGGGTCTTCGACCCTCCCTGCAGGGCAAGGCCATTTGTCTGGCTACAGACAACTCCACTGTGGTGGCTTATCTGCAGCGCCAGGGGGGCACCCGTTCCCCGGCTCTGTGTGCTTTATCCACCCAGGTCCTGTTGCTGTGTCAGGAGATCAGTCTCGATCTCACGGTGAGGCACCTTCCAGGTCGTCTGAATGTTCTGGCCGACACTCTGTCTCGGTCTCGGAGCCCGGTTCTCACCGAATGGACCCTCAAGCGTTCGGTGTTCCGGTCTCTTTGCCTGGTTTGGGACAGACCCCATGTGGATCTGTTCGCCACGGCCCTGAACTTTCGACTCCCTACATTTGTGTCTCCGGTTCCAGACCCTATGGCCATGGCGGTGGATGCTCTATCCCAGGACTGGTCGGGAATGTACGCGTATGCGTTTCCTCCCTTCAATCTGGTGGGCAGGGTGTTGGAAAAGATCCTTCTACACCCTTGTACTGTGTTGCTGGTTGCACCGCTCTGGCCTCGACAACCTTGGTTTCCTCTGTTGCTTCGGCTGTCGGTGGACTTCCCACGCAGCATCCCACCCCTGTGGGATCTGCTGTCTCAACCGAGGTCCCGACAGTTCTACTCGGGACCGGAACGGCTCCACCTTCACGGTTGGATGCTATCTCGGGAAGGCTCACTCAGACGGGCTTTTCTCGAGAAGTTGCAACTCGCATCGCAGGATCACTTAGACCTTCGTCTTCCGCCGTCTACCAATCTCGATGGTCCGCATTCGGTGATTGGTGTGTCGGACGGTCGATTGATCCAGTCTCTGCCTCTGTTCCCGTTGTAGCTGACTTTCTTTTGTCTCTGTTCAGGGACAAAGGTCTGTCTCCGGGAACTATTGCAGGCTATCGTTCAGCCATTGCTAGTGTGCTGGCTTTCTATGGTAGCAAGTCAGTGGGCTCGGACGCTTCATTGTCGGCTCTCATTAGGGGCTTCTACATTGAGAAGCCTCGTTCACGGCAATTGGTCCCTAGGTGGAATTTAGCACTTGTGCTAGATTCCTTGTTAAGGGCGCCATTCGAGCCCCTCCAGTCGACAGATCGGAAGTTTCTTACTTTCAAGACTGTGTTCTTGATAGCCTTTGCTTCCGGTCGCCGCAGAAGCGAGATTCATGCTTTCAGCAGATCTTCTTCTTGCCTTCGTTTTTCGGCTGGCCATTCTTCGGTCTCGGTGACCACTGATCCCTCCTTTTTAGCTAAGAACCAGGTTCCCGGTTTCACCCCAGGGCTTGTGGTTATCCCTTCTTTGGCTTCAACTCTGGATGGGGATTGTCCTGATCGCCTGCTCTGCCCAGTTCGGGCCTTGCGTTACTACTTGGCCAGAACAGAGGGGGGGGCGGGACACTCGTCTCGGCTGTTCCAGTCTCTCCAGCCCGGTCGCTCTGATATCTCTGCAGCGACCATCTCACGCTGGATTGTTCAGACTGTTCGAGCTGCGTATGAGTCGGCAGGGGATCAGTCCTTGCGGGTGTCAGGGGTTAGGGCTCATGAGGTTCGCGCTTTAGCTACTTCGTGGGCCTTATTTAATGGTTCTTCTTACGCTGAGGTCATGACAGCTGCTGTTTGGAGGGGTCATTCTACGTTTACGGAGTTCTATCTCCGATCTTTGTCGGGACAGTCTGACGGATTGTATTCTTTGGGCCCTCTTGTGGCTGCCCAGTCCGTTGTCTGTCCTCCCTCTTCTTTTGCATAAGCCTCATTATGTCTTCTCCGCGTGATCCGGAACGCTGGTCGTAATCAGGCTTTGTGTCACCAAAGGAAAAGGTATTTTGAATTTTTCCTCCGGGGGTATGGGTCCTATTGTTGGAACCCTTCATCGCTCCACGGAGACACCACTGCGGTAAGTCGAATTCGCATTATAATGACTGTGGTAACGTATTTTGAAATAGAATTGAGGTTTCTCTTGTGAAACCAATTTCTATTATAAATACTTACCACAGTCATTAGGTGAGTTCCCTCCCAGCCTCCCCTCGTCTCCTTGGCTCTCACTTTTTTGGGCTTTGGAATTATGAAGTGGGAAGCATGGCTTCGTGTCTTATCACGTGCGTGTATCCTGCCGTCTGATTGGTGGGTTTCCCAGGGGTTCCCCATGGGGGGGAAAATTCTTTATTTACGTATGTAAAGAGCCAAGTAAGGTTGGAATATGCATTATAATGACTGGTAAGTATTTATAATAGAAATTGGTTTCACAAGAGAAACCTCAATATTATCCATTATAAGGGTTAGAACATTCTGATTTTATGTTACTAAATCTTTTACAGGGTAGTAGTACCCCTTGCCTTGATACGGGGCCATCATCGGCATTTGAAGGAAACAAGTACGCTTTCATTGAAGCCACCGGTCCTAGAATACAATATGAAATTGCAGAGTTTTACGTGGATTTGGGTACCAATTGTAAGTTGCGATAATCGGGTGTTTTCAAACATCCATCAGAATCATGACTTCACCGGTCAATTTTATACTCACAGGCCAAAATTAACGTATTCATTATATGAGATTTTTCAGAAGTTGGTTACCATTGTAAGTGAGCTGATGACATGTTTTTAAACCCCCATTTTTATATACGCCCATCAAATTTGACGGAAGAATCATGGTATGGGGTTGTTCGTCCTTCCGTCAGTCCGGCGTAAACTTTTGTTTGTCTGGCAATCTCCTCCTACATTTTTCGACCGATCTCTTTGAAAATTGATATACATTATAATCATGATATGAAGTTGAGTCTCCCTTAAGGTGGCTCCACACTTTCACAATTAACCAGCAAAATTCGTTGAAACTTTCATATAATGGTTATGCAACTATGTTGAGTTGATTTTATGAAAATCTAAACATTCCGATAGTTTGGGGACTTTTTTGGAAAAAATACCAAAAAAATGAATTTCGTCAATTTTAATATTTTCCGTTTTTTTGTGTGTGTGACATTGTTCGGAACAATAACAACAATAATAAAATGAAAAGAAGCATTTCTAATTAACCCTACAAATATTTTATTTATCGCAAAATATGTAACACATGTTACACAAAGTGTTTTTTATTGAATTTGTACAGATAAAAGTGATTATCTACAAGCTAAAAGCACCCAGGACACAAAGTTCTATACATATAGAGTGGGAAATTGAACAAAATATACACAATGGCTTTATAATTAATTTATTTTACATTTTACAATCACTTTGATCCGGGTGAGAGTTATCTTCCTTGAAAAAAATCGGAACTTTTTGCAGAGGGGTGACATTTACACAATGACAGTTGTCTCTGTTTACATATAACAAA